ATATATATCTTCAGGTATGCATGATTATGTTTCCTTGTAGATCTAAAATAGTATGTTTTTTTCTCTTACTTCGAATGGTTTCGACAGATAGCCATGACTACAAGGTCGTATGCTATTACGGCTCGTGGGCTGTATATAGGCCAGGAGATGGCAAATTTCCTGTGGAGGAAATTGATCCATTTGTGTGTACGCATCTGATCTATGGCTTCGCTGGCTTGGGATTTGATAATCGCATTAAGTCACTGGATTCATGGAATGACTTGAAAGAAAATTACGGAAGGGGTGCATTTGAAAGGTTTACCACGAATCTTAAGGCTAAAAATCCCAGGTTAAAAACAATTATAGCCATCGGAGGTTGGAATGAAGGGTCGATAAAATATTCTGCTATGGCTGAATCTCCATCGTCACGAAAGTAAGTATTTACTACGCTTAGATTTACTATTGCCCATCAGGGTATACTTCAGTTCAACGCTTCGATTACTGATGCACTATATCGGAAAAAAATTTCAAAGTATAAAAAAACAAAATATCCACTAAGAAGCACCTAACAGCTGAACGGCAGGCCAAGCTAATCTTTAATGAGACATAAAGGACGTCATTAAGTAACGCTTGATTGACTCTTTTCTGTCTAAAGCGGCTAAATCTTTTCCGGCTACTAATGTTGCAAAAATAATAACAAGAAAGTAGCGAAGATGACCTTTCCTTCTAAACTTCAATTAATAAAGCTACATGCTGTCGATTATATCCAGCGTTCATTAGTTCGACCTATTCAAAACAAGTATCATATTATGTAAATTTAAGGAAAGTCGTTGATTCAACTTACCCCCGAAAGCTCATGAATCAAACAGTGACATTATGCAATTAGGACCAGCGGATGTTGCTTCTGTCTATGGCTGATTTTTTCTTGGTGTATAAGACATATAGAAACCCCGACACCAATTTAAATACCTTTTTTTACTTACCTACAATTTTATGACCTTCCCAAACCCTGTTTTTGGTTGTCCAAGAGATAACAATAACCATTGTTTGCCATAGGATCTTTGTTGACTCTGTCGTAGAGTTCTGCAAAAAGTACAATTTCGACGGATTGGATATGGATTGGGAGTATCCTGCTTCCCGAGGAGGCAAGTCTAAAGACAAACAGAACTTCCTAGCACTACTTCGCGAGCTGAAGGATGCGTTCAAACAGGACAACTTACTTCTAACGGCTGCCGTATCTGCTGGAAAGCATTTTATAGATCCCGCATACGACATTCCAGGGATCTCAAAATACCTTGACCTCATCAATATCATGGCATATGATTTCCACGGCGGCTGGGAAACAAAAGCTGGCCACCACGCCCCCATGTTCTCGAGGCCTGAAGAACCCGCCGATGAACGTATTCTCAACTTGAACTATTCTGTTAATTACTGGATATCTCAGGGTGCGTGCCCCAAAAAGATCACGTTAGGAATGGGTCTCTACGGTAGGACTTTTACACTTCGTCGTGAGGAGGATAATAGTCCTGGCGATGAGGCTCCCCAGAAAGGAAGAGCGGGTCCGTACACCCGTGAACCCGGATCACTGGGCTACAACGAAATTTGCGAAGATCAAATGCGCGATGGGTGGACAGTTGTGCAAGATCCGTACTTTATGTCTCCCTACGCTTTTAAAGAACGGCAGTGGGTCGGTTATGACGACATCTCATCCATTGAAGTTAAGGCTCGATTTGCTAAGAGTTTAGGCTTGGCTGGCGGTATGGTATGGTCAATCGAAACGGATGACTTCAAAGGAAAATGCCATGGCTATCGCTATCCCTTGATATCAGCTATTAATCGCGTGTTTGCCGAACCGGGTATTCCCGATCTTCCAGTACCGCCATCGGATCCACCTACCACCCCTGCACCGCCCTCGACCGCTTCAACGGAAAAAACCTGGTGGCCTCGCCCTAGCACCAGCACTATGCGTCCATCTTCACAGTCCACAGCCTTGACCTCAACGACGGCAACAACAATAACAACAACAATGAAACCTGATAATTCTACCACAAGACCTCCAGAAACTGATATGGATAGCGAATTTAAATGTTCAACACAGGGTATTTTTCGTGATCCTTCTAACTGTCAGGTATTCTTCGAGTGCGTACCAGGCACCGACGGACTGATAGCCTTCAAAAAGGAATGTGCCTCAGGAACTGTGTTTGATCCTATTAAGAATCAATGCGCATGGCCACATGACGTTCCAGAGTGCAAAGGGTATTCCGCGCCCGCAGATCTCGATATCGACGTTAAACAGGAGATTGCCTCCTAAAAACAGCCTGAATATCCAAATCAATATATTTATAATAGGAGATGTGCGAAACATAATATTTATGACATATAGGTATTATTTATAGAATAAACATGTAAATTATTAAAATAAGCTAACATGTCATTTATGTATATCTAAATAATATCGGAGCCAGGTGGCTATTACCAGTCAACTTGTGTGGTACAGAACCGCGTGATAAATTAACCTACGTATAAGGCTTTGAGTGGGGTAATTCCCCCTAAGTCTTTTCTGAGATCCTAGCTGAAGCCCCGTTTATGTGCTAACTAAGAAACGGGGTCCTAGCTTTAATCAGGTGAGAAACAATTAGAATTTAAAATGAGTGCACTCAGATTCAATCGACGCAGTCCAGATCTAACAGGCTGCACAGCAATGAAAAGTTTAGTTCGCGTTTAACTCCGGGCTTGATAATTAATTGTAAATACTATGAAATAATTTATTTACCATTCTAATTCCATGTCTTGCCAAAAATGAAGAATGTGTTTATATCTAGATAATTAGATTACTTGAAATGGACTTGATGTTTGGTGCTTTTTGTAGTTTAGGCTGAATAAGTTAAAAATTAAGTCTCGAATATTATAGAATAAAAAAAAATTTTGAAAATGAATTTGCGATGTCTATAAGGCTTCACACGGCTAATCAGTGTAAAATTCCGATCAGGAACACTACGTACAACTCACAGAATTATATATAGTGTTCTTTCTAAGAGCTATTATTGAGCACCCTTTAGTCATGCGATTGTTAAAATATCTATCCACAATAATCCAAAAAAATTCCCCTACAGACCCTTACGTCATGTAAAGTAGTTTCGCAATATTATTATCGAGTTTAGAAAGTATAAGACTAGAGATTATGAAACTATTATGTACATAAGCCATATGTGCGATACGCTAGAGTTGATGTTTTGCTTAAATAATAATGAGACCATTTTCCCTGCGTTGGTGACGTCATACATATAACTTTTTGTTTTAAAATATACATCCTTATTTCATTTTTGCAATTCTATTAAGGCTCACGTACTTTTAAAAGGAAAAAAGAGCTTGCTACAGGCTATTGCGGCCTACACTTGTAACCTACTAGATAATCCGACAAGTATTAGTTATTGTATTGAAGACGATCTCTAAGGAATTTCTTTTGATATATATACATGTTCAGTACAATTCTTCAAGAGCAAGATGCATCCACATAACCCCCAAAAAACATTTACTGAGGGGGAATTAGAAGTCGATCCTTAGGTCCCGAAAAAACAAAAAGCCACTGCGAATATCGCTCTATCTTTGTTGTTGTATTGCTTTCAAGAAAAAAAGTGGTGCTTAAGATATATAAATTGAAAACAGTAGTTCAAAAACTTTTTGAGACTAAGATAAACATTCAAACGCATAGAAATGTAGAGCTTTCAGTTTGATCCTGAGAAGATTCGTTTTTATGACTACGAAAAATTTTCCGCCATTATTATCCCAAGCCCCATCCCATGTACAGCAGTAACCATCCTACTATATCTTTCCTTTTCAGCACAGTAAACTGGCTTTTCTCGTTTAAGTTTGAATTTCTCTTTCATAACAAATAGGAATAAATCTACGTAGCATCGCTAGATTTAATAGATAATGTAACATGTTTTTAGCTGATTTTCGTAGAAATGTTTATAAAGAAATAAAACTGTTTGGTCTCTGATAACCCCCGTGATGGTTCCCTTGATATAGGTAAATTTTGCCCGCCCCTTTGGGAACTTCTAGATCTAACTAAACAATAAAACTAAAATTATAATAAGGAGACTAAAAAACGGGTTCACGAATTGGGACCAGAACAAATGGAATTCCATTTTGCCAACTAGTCCCATCAAAGTGGAGCATATCGTCAGCGGAAGCGACACGTGAGTCAGTTTGTGTTAAAAGAAGACGAAAATCAGGCGAAAAAATGGCGTTGTGCAGGTAAAAAACAACTTTTGATCGTAGTGCCAAATAGATTTGAGTAATATTTAAACCCAGGGATAGTTGAGGTATTGCAGGAAACGAGGCTGAGGAGGCTGGCTTCAACTGAACAGTCTGAACAGCAACAGAATTACAGCTACCACACATATCGACATATTATTGCTCTACCATATACAGCTGAAAGGTCGCCTACCTTGTTGACCCACCGAACCTAACAACAGAGATCGTTCGTCAAATATTTGTTTTCTCGACCTTCTTCTAAGTATAGTAAGATGAATTATTTTTCACAAAGATGAAACTACAATACGTAATACTTCGCATAAGTAGTTTATCAATGTCTTCCGAGTCATTTAATATTTTAGTGAAATTACAAAGTTGCGTTTCGTATCGTCTTGGAGGCTTTACGCAAGAGCATCTACTATATAGGTAAAATATGTAAAAAAAATTAGTTAACCCGTCTCGGTCCTTTTTAAAAATATTCCGACCTTGTGCTTCATATGCCAAACCACTTGTGGTTTTTTTCCGAAATGGAAGCCTTGCAGTACTAAGAACTCTATGTGCAACAATGGCGTACGCTGTAGGGCTTGATCAAGTTACAAGACTACTAGTTTTAGAACATACTTTTAAACTACTTTAATTTTGTGTGTCACCGCGTTTAATACTGTTCGACGTGCCGACTCCAGAAGTAGCCTGCATTGGCCCCGTGGCGGTCTTGAAGGGCAGACAGTGCTTCTCGCATGGCCCGAGCTATCATTTGTCGAACTGGAAAGGGGTGATCGAAACAAGCGTAGTTTAGACTCACTTGAGCGAACCAGGGAGCACATGAGGAAACGCTCAGCAGTTTTCCAAAATTTTAGCCAAACCTAGCTATAAACACCGCCTACGGTTCCACAGGTGTTTGGGGGGTATTGATACTCGTGGCTTGGGTTCGTTGTTTAGCAGAACCCTCAACTGTGACGAGGCACCAATCAGTGGATAGCTTTTATCAGACCCGGATGACCTTGACGGCAGAGAGCATCCAGTAGAGATTTAGTTACCTTTCAGTAGCCGAATTAAAAGGTGACTTTGTCGCCTCTCTGAAGCCATTAGCGCAGGTTCGCTAGTTAGAGCACTGTTACTGATCCAAAGTCAACGTCACGTTTTGGTTTTGACTGTTGCAACGTATAAACGTGACAGGACGTTGGCGTCGCGGTCCACCGTGCCACTCCAGTGTCGAATCTTAAAATCGTATTCTGACAGTTCCAGGGCCCATCGGCTAAACCTTTGCAGGTATTTCGGCACTATTGTTAACCGCTTCCAATACAGGTACGAATAAGACTCCTTTACCATTGAGATTACAACAAAACATTCGGTCTCTCAGGAACGTTACTTCGCCGAGAGTTGCCTACTAGCCTATGCTATAATGCGCTTCTCACTCTATTTATAATGAGGTAGAATTCGGTACGCTGCCGCCCGAGCAACATTGTGCACTTCAGTTGGTAAACTCTTTTGGCAATGTCAGAAAACTGGGTTGTCTGTGAGGGCCTTCCAAAGGGCCAGAAACGAATTTTGATTTAGGTAGTCCCAGAAAGTCACAAAGCAGCTTGGCTATTTCGACAAAGCCGATATAAATTACCGATAGTATGACGCTAAGTCGGCCTTGAGGGGCTTCAGGGTATCCGTAGCGGCTGTTTTTAAACCCGGTCCATTTGTGATACTTATTGAAAGTATTTCTTGAAAAAATCCAAAAATGCTAAGGCTCGTGGGCGAGAACTTCAGTTAGTAATTGATATGATAAGACTTACAGAGGGTCGGCATCCAGAAGAAATAAATGACAACCATGGTGTTGTTTATGGCGATATTTAAATGAAATATCGGAAACAGCATTTTGTATTTGGTAACTTTTTTAATTTTATTTTTAACTGTAATAAACTTTTATAATAATTAACTTGATAATTGACCTTAAGGCACGACAGTAAAATAGAACTACAGTTGCTCCACTTTAGAGCACCAAATAAGCACGAAGTACCTTTTTTAATACATAAATATTCTTATTTATTCAGCAGTTGTTCCCTATCACATAAGATGCATGTCTTCATTTTGTTCTTACTAATACAATAAATACCCACAAAAACCTGGCCTTCGCTAATATGACTATCTTTATTTGATTTTCTTATCAAAATCACTTGGCCATTTTTCTAAAGTTTTCGGAATATTCACTGTATCAGTAAAAAAATAGGTTGCGGCTTGCCGGTAACTTTAATTATTTGTGGGTTTCGCGCCAAACGCAAGATGGCTCTAAACGTGGAAGTATAAAAGGAAGTACTTGTCCAATCATCGCTTGTGCATTCGGACGTCATTTTTGACGCCTCAAATGCTTATCAACGCTATCTAAGGGCAAAATATACCAGCTGCATCGTAGACGCAGCTTGCCTCGCTAAAAATATTTATTTCCTCTATTCGTGTGGTAGTGTAAACAGGCACTCGGGTTTTCAGCAGGAACAAGTCAATATTGGAATTGTAATTCAATTAAAGCTTTTTGTAAAGGGCCTTACAGGCGAGTTTGTCATACATATCCTGTTTAATACATGGGTCTGTGAACCGATGACTCTGCTGACGATTATTGTCAGCAGAGTCTGTCTTGAACATGTGTTGGATTTTCTGAGCGTCTATTGTGTCCAACAACAGGTAATAAGCCTACTATGTGCAAAGCTAACACAAAAGTTGGAGGGAGGAACACAGAGGAACTACTTCCCTCTCTGAGCGATAATCGAGCCTACCATTTAGAAAAAAGAGCTAGCACGAATAAGAAGTCAAGTTCACCGCGTTCCCCTAACACATTTTTGAATTTGTGGATGATTCTTCAATTTCTCTCAGCATTGTATTTTTTGTACAAAGAGCAAAGGAGTGTGTCCAACAATCCATGTAAATTTTGTGTATCATCGAGAATGACCTCAGGGTTTTTGTCGAGCATGTTTTCATTCCAAAAGTAAAATAACGGTATTTGTAGGAACACTCTTTATTCATCTAGTACTGCTACTGCGTCAATATCACAGACAGTGACTTATTAGTTACGTTCTACAGGCGGTCTCAAGAAAAATGAGTCATTTAATTTTGGCGCCATTCTGTGCTTTCACAGTCACAGAATGGCGCCAATATTTGAAATGCGTTAACTGCGAAAATAATAATGATAAAGAGACTAGGTTGACTATGCATCTCTAAGCGTTCAGGTTGTTTAAAAGAAAATACCATGGCTGTATCTAGAGACTACAGGTCATACATAGTTCAAAGAATTTATAGTTAGGCATGTAATCAACCACAATGGGACTGTGGGTTTTCTAAGGAAATAATCGTCAGCGACGAAATTCATTAAGTAAAGTTGTCACATTTTAAGTTACTTGTATTTCATAAAAAAAAACATGCATTTCAAATATGTCGCTGCTTTTTTCGGATTTTGAACTGAAAACATCACTTGACCATTTGGCTTCGAAGACTCTATGAGATACACACAAACAGTCATGGAACATGGTAACCCAAGCTTTCATGTTTCAAACGGATGGTATGAATCTCGAAAACATGTGATTCAAAAGGACAGTCCCGCTTGCCAAACATCTTGTGAAATAATGGTATTATTACATGAAATATTCTATACTTGTCTGGCCTCTATGAGCCAGAGTTGATTTTATAAAGCGCGCGATCCGACTCCTTTCAACTTTTGTCTCTAGGGCTTCTTGAAATCCGAAGTTTGTCAACAAGCTGACAATCATGATTGGCATCGAAACAAAAGAAGTATATTTTATTCGCAAAAAAAAAAATTCTGCTATTGTTGAAACACCCTATATCGTAGAAAGTTATTATTTTTATCAAAATTCGCGGCTTGATACTCAGTCAGCCAGGATCATTTTTTCAGTGCCGCGCCGCAGTTTTAATGTCATACGTTGTCTCTAGAGGGTTGTTTATAACGGCTCGAAGATTCCTTTCTCCTTAGGCAACTTAATCTGTCAGTCTTTTTTTCAGACACCCGACGATTTAAAGCCAAAGTGCACAGTATTTAACGAACTAAGCTCATAAAAAACACGCTTGCATCTCACGCCGGTGGGGTAACTTAGCCGTACCTGACCCTCTTAAGCCTGCTGTGCAAGTATTGGTGACGCTTATCTGACTGCTGGAAAACTGTTTTTTTTTTTTATATACAATCAGTCTCTATTGGGAAGGCCGTGAGGTCGCCATCGGTCATCTTCGACATGTGGCGGGTGTCGTAGGAAAATTTAGCGGGCCTGATATGACATGTGCTGGCCGGCTTCTCCGCATAACTATAATACTTTTTCGAGTATAGTATTACTAGCTAGTAATCAGGTTAATGAATGTCAATTAATTATTCAGCAGTAAATGGTTTCTCTGGTTGGTATCTTTGCAGGAGGGAAGGTCCTCTTGACTCAGTGTGTCATGCAGTAAACTCGTGACGACACGCAGCAGTGCAGATGACCTAGTCGCCTCAACGCGAAAAAAAGTCACAGCTACTGTACCAAAATTGGACAAATAATAGTAATTTGCAATATATCAGCAGTTTATATATCTACTATGTAGTAGTTCTGAGTCACGATTGTTGCGCAAATCACATCGTATGAATTTACGTATTTAATCTTTCTGCTTAGACCATTTCTGCTGTCGTCGTCCTCTCAACTGCGGACTTTATTGTCTCGAAAATTGATGAAATGTAGTACGTTATCGAAGTGAAGTATACTACAGAACATGCTACTATCGATTCTATAGGGTAATTCGTAGAGATGTTAAAGCCTTAGATTTTTCTGTCTACAAAACATTGAAAGGCAGCTCTAACTTAACCTTCGACTCCTTCAGTATCATTTATGGGTTTCCATACAGAGTGAATAAGAACATTTCAAGGACCCATCAGTGCTGAAGTAGTCCATAGGTACATTGCGTCGCCTTGACCGGGCGAACCGCTCGGCGTTCTATTGTTTCGTGTAATCAGGGAGAGCGGTCGTTGAATAAATTATTAAAAGTTGTCAACAGGTAATAGAAGCATCAGATATAGTAAAAGCGAGAAATTAGTCTTCAGAGGCACCTGCACTACAGTCCTCTGAGCTTTGGCCTTTGTGTGGGTCTCGATTATATTGCTTGTCCATATTGCGATTTCTTAGAATTGCACGTTCACGAGCCGTACATTAACACTAATTGTAGGTGGATACACCGTTCGACTACAGAATATTTACTGCTGTTAATTGAAATGAGAGGCCAAACGTCGTTGGAGTGCGTTTCTCAAACTCAGAAATAAGCACGATCAGTATTTATCGGATTATCATCTCTGTCACAATTTATATTCAGCCAGCTCTAAAATGAGTCAAACAGTAAGCTTCGATTTCATCATGCACCTATGTATCGGTAGGTAACCCATGAGAGAGGCATATACCGAATTTAAGAAATTACCAATCCAGACTTGCCTCTGGAACTTATGTTTCGCATAACTGGAGATTGCAGTCAATAAAACAATAAATGAAGATTACAGAGTGCATTTGACATGTGAAGCATGATAAGCTGACAGCTGTACGAGACCACGTATTCCCGCTAAATACTAACTCTGTAGCCTGAGTCTTGCTGCGTTATCTATGTCTGAGGTCGTTTCAACGAATGTATGCGTGATACCAGATCCCACTTGTGCATATTGTTATGAACAACGATGAAAAAAATAATTAAAATCACTGCATGAGTTTTTTTCTGCATGTGTACGGGTCGCAAGCAATATCCCCATAATATTCATCCCTATAACACTGGGACAGTAAAACAAGAATAAATAAAAGTAACTGGGGAACTAACTATAATCTTTACATAGTGGCGACAAATAGAGCACCTTTAAGAATCAACGAAACATGAAATTGCACTATTGATAGTACTTCATATAGGCAAAGAGCACGGTTCAGAGTACGCCCATATCTCTAGCTTCAAGCTTCTAGCTGTATAGAAAAGCGTCTTAAAGCGAGCTTTCGTTGAAACCAGAAGTTTCTAAATACAACATATACAGTTAGGTATAAGTAGACGTACTCTATTTTTGTGCATAGGTAAAACATAAACGACACACGCTTCTAAAACCTCTGTCTCAACACTTAGGTGCTACCTGGGTACGTGATCACAAAACAGAGTTCTTTAACAGATTATAATAGGATTTTTATCGTTCTTAGAATCCGTTTTTTCTATCGCGGGAAATATGAGATACTATAAATAGCTTCCTGAGAACAATGTGTTTAATTTTATTTTACGATAAGCAAGATTTTTCATCTTGCGTACCGGACAGGACAGAAAATATATCGCATAGACCGTTCATATTTTCTACAAACATACGTGCGCTTTTTCGTGAGCACTGAACGAAAAATATATTTTTTCCCAGATCAAATATTTTAAGATGTAATAATAAGAGGCTTGGGTCAATAAAGTAGGTGGACTCTAAAACATTCTAACTATTATTTATTAACATTGTAGTGTTCAGTATCATATACAGTCATAGAAATATCGGAACAATGCCAAAAGCAATTAGCAGTGCTCTTGATCATTTACGTGATGTCTGGCAACGCACCCACAATATATAATGATACTCGCTTCACTCTAAGCTCCTATCTGGCTTCGCACATTATAACAGTTTTCGGATGCATAAGTACCTCCATTGACCAAGTTCATGCCTATTTTTAGGAATAACTGTTCGAATAGCGCCTTTAACTTCAGGGTCTACAGTTGATGCTTTCGCTTGATCTGAGCAGCGTTGAAACGTCAGTGGTGAATGCAGTGCTCCATTTATTATCCAGAATCCATTTGTTCTGAATCATTCGAAGTGTCAGTTGAGGAATAATTTGAATACAATCATATACGACACGGAGATTTTTGGCCTTAAATGTAAGCGTCAATGCATATATTTTGAACTTTGAGGACAATTACAAATTTGATACGAATCAAAAAGCCCGCACTTAGCCTCTCTATATCTAGTATCTGTGTTGGATGGCGGGAAAATTGAAATATGAGTAAAATTAACGTACTTAACTTATATTTACAAAATGTGCTTTGAAGGTGTAGACAAGGCTTACAAGTTTGCAGAAAACCTTTTGTGCGTTGTTTTTTCATAGTAATACACGATAAAATATGCCTCGAGGGCATTAAACTTCATGTAAGGTCTATTGCCTTTGGCAAGGCTTTTAAGCTAAGTTCGTGCCAGTACTATCTCAATACATGCCTTCGATAAAAAATGTAACAAGATCATCGCATAGAAACAGCGTTCGTTTGTGACTCGGTAACGTTCTCTACATTCTGTATTTCACAAACGTGCTCTTGCAGACGCTGTTATAAGTAAAACAGGAATCAGACCTTTACTACTGGGACGAAATATCCTACGTGCGTATAAAATCTAAAAGGCACGAATTGATCGTAAACAAATCGTGGCTGGATAAAAAAAGTTGTCATTAATGCGTTAGTCAAGAATTGACGAACTAGTAGCTCAAGAGGCTGTAAATACATGAACCAACAGGATACAAAACAATGCAAGCAGTAAACTTGCTATCTAATGTAAATGAGACAGATAAAAGAACTTCAGATGATAGTAAAGTGTGTCACACAAACTACTTTATTATATACACAGATATCCGGTGCCGTTTATATATATATATATATATATATATATATATATATATATATATATATATATAATGTATACGTTTCTTATAAATAAATATAGCCAGCTATAGACATTTACAAGATGCCAACTCAGTCGCGTAACTATGCTAGATAAATTATACGTGCACGCGTTAGTATTATTTTACGGTGCTTTGAAAACCTCACTATTGGTTAACTAGAGCAGCAGCATGCAGCATTCATTAGTATAAGTTTTACTGAGACGCACACTTTTCTAAATATTGTCTTTGTCGTTTGTCGGCCCGGGCTCAGATACGCAATCGACGTGGCAAAAACATGGTATTAATGCTTGCTAATAGATAAAATAACCTGGACGAGCATCCACTACAGAACAAAGCCACAACGCCAATTATTTTAATATGCAACGATGCACTTCATGAGTTCTAATAGATGGCCTTTGTTGACAGACGCGGTGTTTTCAAGCTGACAGTTCCTCCTTCGAAACTTCGTACATTTCACCTTCTTGACTAGCCATCTCGGACAACGCAGAACTTGGCGTGTAGAAATACGCCAGCACAGCAAAGAAAATCATATCTGCAAACATGGCTAGCCCGAAGACCAGGAACTCAGTCGACTGAAAAATATATGGTGCATATATTATAGCCAAGCTAGGTTGTTCGCAGAAGGCGCAGACTGTTAAATACAATCTATGCTTCTGATTAGACGTACCGAAACATTCGAGTGTATAAGCTAACAATAGCATTCAAATACATTTATGTGCCATATTGTAAATTCCAGATATACTTCACATCATATCATCACGGACTCCCTACGAGTAGAAATCTAGCTTCTAGCGCTGGCCCCAGCGTTTTATTCTCGTGCACCTGACTTCGAAAAAAAAATTATAACTGGAGATAATTTTTTTGGCCGCACTTCCCTGCGTTATCCTGGCACGAAATAACTTAGTTCTAAATTCACTTTCAACGGAGTAAAACTAACTATAGTAGGATCAAAATATCCTTCTAACTGCAATTATCTAAAATATATTTGGGCCTATGGAGATTATTGTTCTTAAAGCACCGAATCATAATTTAGAGGATAAGAACATACCTGTTATACTTTCCAGTGTTAACTCTATCATTACAGAGTTGTAGGTTGTACGGTATACACTTTAAAGAGCACGTTAGTTTGCATATCGCTGAAGCCTCAACATATTGACGCCCTAATACATAATTGATTTGTATAGAAAATATCGTGCGCTTAGATCAACAACACTGCGTACTTTTTACAGTCAGTTAGTTCTACATGTTATATAGTTACGCATCACAAACAAAAAAATCGCGCTATAAATGGTGTAGATGCTACAAGTAATTAACCAGAAGGGCCAATCGGACGACAAATCCTCCGAAACCGAATGCCATGTTCAGCTATCCAGTACGTGCCATGGTTAATTATGCACTGCTATGGACATTTTAAATATGGCTATTGAAGCAGTACAACCCTCCGCTTATATAAATATTAGCGAGCCCATGCAGGTAATGTACGTGTAATCCTAATATGGGATTATCTGTGGACCACACGTTTGTACGGTTGGAGCTAGTTCGTACCCTAGCAGTAATAGTATCAACGTAAGCCTTAGAGCAACTTAGAGAAGCGCCATAGTTTAAAAATTTCGTCAACAATGGCACACAAGAATGTATATTTTTTTACAAGAAAAATAACCATTGCGTTGCCCTTGTTAGTCACAGACTGATCAAACGATTTGCTCACAAACTTTTATATCAAGAGTAACATATACCTAAGCTATACCGAACGTACCTGTTTCTCAAGTCCAATCTTTGCAACAATGACCACAAGCAGATTTCCGATGGCAACAGTCATCAACCAGCCGGCTTGAAGCACAGACTTCATCGACTTTGGCGCTTCGGAGTACGAAAATTCAAGACCCGTTACTGAAAACAGGACCTCGCCCGTCGTAATTAATATATACTGTGGAGCCTGCCACATTAGTGACATCGCTGGGGCCGCCTGAGTCAGGTTCATTGTGCAGGTTTTGTTAGTCACAACGAAAGTATATGCTTCGCCCGTCTGCAGCCTCCCGGGCATACAGGTCATGTCGGAGTATCTTAATGTGTACCTAATCAAAAAAGAAATTTTATACGAACTGATTAATGAAAGCATACCTTGCGAACAGTATAATATTGATTTCAATATTGGTGGTCAAAAACCGTGGAAAAAACAGCATCCTAAATAATGGTAAACTTCGGTGTATATCTTAAACGGCCCGTGGGATCTTGGGTAAAGGCCGCATTGTCGGATATTTGCACTACTTTTTCGGATAAAATCAATGCCACTGTATGGATACATTTTTACGATAAAGGCTATGGTAATCATTTGGTTAATATTTATAGGGTTGCTAACTTTTTTTTACAGCAAAACCACAAGGTGTCTAAATTTGCGCCTCTACTTTAGACTGAAAACGTATTTTTCCTATTTATAAGAAATTAACAGCAGATATTTGACATTTGGTGCCTATACAGTTGATATAATATATTTGAAACGGTACTCAAAGGTACAATGCCAAGCTGGTCAAATGAAAAAACCTGAAGTATGAATATTGCATCCGAATGGGGACAAAAGTATTTGCGTATATTGCGAGGCCTTCGAAGAAGTTTAAAACGGCCACCTTCACGTTTTGGGCGTTCACGATTGGATACACAAAAGCCATTGGAATAGTCGACGTATTTAACCAAAGGTAATTACTTGTGAAGTTATATAAATTTCAGCAACGATTATATGCGGTCACTGAGACAAGCAACCGCAACTTAATCAATGATCTTAATGGTATTTATATCATTGTTGTTAAATAGCACACCATTTACACTGCACACAACCAAGCCAAAGTGCAGTGTCAACCTATTAATATACATGCAACAAGAAGAACACATACTGCATGTAGTGCACGCCAGTAAACATCTATTGGATTGGCGGACGACAAACATCGCATAATACATGACCCTAGTATTAGAATTGAACTAAATATTCATATTAGTATCGATATATTCCTAAAAAAAACAATCATACAATGGCTCGCATGCATTATCTGCTATAT